TCAACACACACACCCCTGCCAGGCCAGCTAGCTGGAGTTTACAGCACCACTTACCTTAAGCTAGAGACTTGTGTGTGTGGATGGAAGTTGCATTAGGGGCAACACTCACATTATAGCTCAAGCTAATGCTGCAGTGAAGACAAGCCCTATGAACAACAGGCCAGATCCTCAGCTTGTGTAAATCAGGTAGCTCCATTGAAGCCAGTGGTGCTTTGCCAGCTGTGGATCTGGCCAGGAACAGTAAGAGAAGATCTGCTTGGAGAGCAATGGCTGGCATTGGAGATGCATGCTGAATGCAGATGAGTTCACAGAGACAGCAGCAGCTGAAGTGTCTGGCTCTGCTCTGGGAAGTGGCTTTGTAATAACGGCACCTTCTCACTTGGCAGGTCTGCTCCCTGGGTGTGTCAGAGTGAAGGCTGCAGGGCCATAACTAAGGGCATCCTTTTTCTTTCCTGGTGACACTGCTAAGGGGGTCAGCTGGGCTGTATCCTGAATCAAAATAGTTTATTAAACTCCAATCGGTTACAGCTGTGCAAACCCACCCAGGGCTGATCAGGCTGTGCAGGTGTTCTGAAGACAGGAATTGGCCAGCAGTGTCTTTATTATTGGTGAGATAGTGAGCCCTACACATATCTCCTACATTCTGGGCTTGGTTTGTAGTTAAAAGGGAGATTTCTTTTTTAATCTATAAATGGATCCCATTTGATGTGAAATGGCTGAAGGGTGATAGCCATAGGGTGCCACCATGGCATTGTTCCGGAGTCATAATTCAGGGCAGAACCATGCTTCAAAGAAATGTCTCTTCGTGTGGATCTCCTGACCAGCGTAAGGAAGGGTGGCTGCTCTGTAGCATTTGCACTGGGGACTGTGATTCTCAATAGTTCAGGAGTGGTAAACAGGGCTGGTCTGGGTCAGAGCTTGTACAGGAGCCCTCTAAGACCTGGTCTACACTAGGCGTTTATGTCGAAGTTAGCGCCGTTACATAGAATTAACCCTGCACCCATCCACACT